GTTTATTTACCAGCCTGAGAAAGAGGGTATAATAGTGAAATATTCATATGTTTTAAGATTTTTTTCTATACTAAAATTGTGTATATATAGAAAAACTTTCAATTATGAAAGTCGACCATAATTCTTTAAAGATTTTAATTTGTGTAGGAATTAGACTTTAGTTTAGACTTCTTCAAGAAGTCTGATTCTCAAAAAGAAGTAAACATCAATCTCTTGTTTTGTAAAAATAATTCCAAACAGGATTGACATTGAATAGTAAGGGTACGATTCGTCTAAGTAGTTTGATAAGAATCAAGAATGTCAGTAACAAAGCAAGAATCTTATTGATAGTTATTTGCATATGGACGCCTTTGATAGAAACCACAGCCACGATCATGCGATTGGCCACAACTCCAGAATTCGTATTAGACTATCAATCAAACAATAAGTAAATCATAGTGTTAGAGAGGAAATAAATCAAATTAAATAGTATAAGGGTAAATCACATTCTTTGAAATTAATTATAATTGATTGTCTATTTCCCATTTTCCCTCCTAAAAAGCCTCGATATATAAAATTATAATATTCAACATAATACATATAAATAAAAATCATTCTTAATATGGTATTAAAGTATTAAGTTTTTCTTGCTATGTTTTTTTATCAACTTTTGCAATGATATGGACCTCTATATTATTGCACTTGACAGTACGATGGTATCCATAACGGTATCTATGACAATGCCTAAAACAAATTGATCACTATCCATCAGAGATCAGCAAGTGCATCTATAGTTAGGGGCTCAACACGTTGTCAAAAAAAGTAGGAAAGAAACTGGGTGCGTTAGGTATGTGTTCAGTCAATCGAGCAGGGATATGGGATGATAGCAAAGAGTAAGCAATATTTTATTGTTGACCAAAAATCTTTCGATGTACTTTGTAAGGGCAGAGAGGAAAATGGCATCCGTACAAGTGAGAATGGGAGGAAATTTCAGGTATCAATTTACCAAGAGGAAAAAGATGTTGGGTGGTTGGTGGACTCGTTAACCGACTTCTACTAAAGGAAAAGGGGGAAGATTTGGGGGAAGCATTTCACTAAAAAAAAAAACACACGTTATGGGTGGCGTTGGGATGGAACAGGTACGGTCATTTCTTGGTATTGACTGAGAAAAAAGCCAAGGAAAGGACGAGGATTTTCATCCTTGAAGGCCATGACGCAAGAGGGTGGAGAAAATTAATGAAAACTGTATCTGAACTAGCAAACCTGGACTGCTAACAAACCTAGACAAAGTGACAGATGAGGAGGGGGCAGGTGTGGCAATGATAGGTGAAGAAGCTAGGGTGAGAGTACAGAAAAAATAGATAATATCGTGTCCTCATTGCGTTGTAAATCTTATAATCACGGTGGAGGTGGTTGGGCGGCTGTTGCTTGCAGAGGCGGTAGGATGCAAATACGAGAAGCAGGTAAGGAAGACAACACCTAAAAACTCTTTGAGTCGGATCCATTTTGAATTTTTAAAATGGAGCCATGCGGGTCAGGTGAGAAGTGAGGGGGTGGTGAATAAATCTGAACTGAATGGAAGTGGGCCACAAAAAAGGAAAAAGTTACGGGCCAAATGGAGGAAAAAAAGTTACATGGATAGATAAGGGTAAGTGGGTGGATCAACCAGGCCCGAATAGAGAAGCGGGTCAAAAAACCTAAACTTTAAATGGGCCTAGAGACCCAAGAAATCGAGCCCTGTTCAGATCAAGCTGAAAGAAAAGAGAAAAAAAATGTTGATGAGGGAGATCGACCGATTGGTGGAGAGAAAAGCTAGGATGAACTGGAGATCGGTGAGAAGGAAGAGAAATTGGTTGAAGATGCATAGGAAGGGTCGTTTATGGGTAACAACAAGGTGAATATGCTATTTAAAAAAGGAGAAGAAAAGGAAA